AGCGTCACTATCTCTACAGAGAGAAGTGTGATATCGATACAGATCACAAGTCTTAAATACTTCATCAATGACTTGAATATAAGATACAGGACATGGGTGGAGTTAGTGAAAGATTATGACCATACGATTCTTTACCATTCGAGTAAGGCTAATATAGTCGCAGATGCTCTTAGCAGGAAGACAGTATCACAATTAGCAGTTTTACCCATGGTACAAAAACCTTTGATAAAAGACATTGAGAAACTGAGATTAGAAGTCATCACACCGTCGACTCGAACTTCAGCGAGGATAGAAGCGTTAATGATTTAACCTGCCTTAAGGGATCGAATCAAAGAAGCACATAATAAGGATCATTTTCTGCAAAAGATTAAGACTGATATTGGTATAAACAAACAGCTGGGATTTGAAATATCTGCAAATAAAGCACTAACTTTTAAATCAGATTGTGTGTACCCAAGGATGAAAGTGTAAGAAACGAGATATTGAAAGAGGCTCACTTCACCCCGTATGCTGCAAATACAAGTGGTATGAAATTGTATTGAGATCTTCGAGATACATTTTAGTGGAGAAACATGAAAAGACAAATTGGTTTGTTCGTGGAGAAATGTATTACCAGTTAGTAGGTTAAAGCAGAACATCAAAGGCCATCAGGATTTGTCAAACCGTGGAGTATTCCAGAATAGAAATGGAAACACGTAGCGATGGACTTTATGGCAGGTTTTTCGAGGTCAACAAGAGGTCACAATGCTATTTGGTAGTGGTTGATCGTTTGACAAAGCCGGCCCATTTTTTGGCAATCAAAGTAAATTTCAATAGAGAACAGTTCGCACAATTATATATTAGAGAGATAGTCAGATTGTATGGAGTTCTAATCACCATTGTTCCCGATAAAGACCTTAGGTTCAAATTAAAGTTTTGGAGAAGCTTGCAGGAAGCCATGGTGACGAAACTGAAGTTTAGTACTGCTTATCATCTACAGATGGATGGACAATCAGAAAGAACCATTCAAACTCTTGAAGATACGTTGAGGGCATGTGTTTTGGATCTTGGCGGTAGTTGGGATATACATGTACCCTAGTGGAGTTTGCTTACAACAATAACTTTCAGACTACTATAGGCATGACCCTATATGATGCTCTCTATGGTAAGAACTGAAAATCCCCTATCCATTTGGAAAAGGTCTGAGAGAATAGAATTTTGGATCCTGAAATCATTAAACGAATAGTTGAGGTGGTTGACAAGATTAGGCCAGAATAAAGACAGCATCGGATCGACAAAAAAGTTATGTCGATATTAGAAGGATTTGAAATTTCAAGTGGGTGACAAAGTTTTTAAAATAACACTAATGAAAGGCGCGTTAAGATTTGGTAAGAAGGGAAAGTCGAGACCACGATTCATTAGACCTTCCGAAATTCTTGAAAGTTGAGCTATGTTTCGACGCTTAGAAAATATATTCATGACCCCAATTACATAAGTTAACAAACTTTGGAAGTACAAAAAAGATTTGTCATACGAAGAAGTCCCCATGATGGTTTCGGATAGAAAAATGCACAAACTAAGAAATAGAGAAGTTCCCCCGATCAAGGTTCAATGATGAAATCATGGACTTGNCAAAAGAAAAAGTGTTTTTCGAACTTTTAAAAGAATAAATGACAATACTTTAGATTGTCCAAATTTAAATTTTATAAAATAAATTAATAAAATCTAATAATAAAAGTATATATATCATAGAGTAATAATTTGAGTCAATAAATTTTTTAAAGAAATTATTTCGAAAACGGAAACTATAATATATAATTATTTAGTTATTATTTATTGTAATGAAAAATTAAACAAAAAAAGTAAAAAAGCATAGAATTGAAGAATTGAACCCCACACCTCTAATGCACAAGATGGCCCCTTCTACCATGTAAGCTACATTTCTTGTTGTTGAATATTGGTATAATTATGAATTAATATTTAGTTATTATTTACATGTTTAAATGTTTAAAAGGAAAATGCTATTGAAAAGAGTCGTACCCGGGAATTGAACAAGGAAGGAGTCTGCTCCTCCAATTGACCTGCTAGCTATATCAGTAACATTTCTCCAATAACATATATAAAATATTATTTTCATATTTCTTAATTAATTTTTTTTCCCGATGAATCCAGCACGGGCGGCCGCCCCGGCTCGCCGGGTGCTGGGTCCGCCCCTGTGTGTGTATTATGTTACACATTATTGGTTATTGGGAATAAGTCAAGTCCTAGTCAAAGTAGAAAAAAATTCTTATCCTAACCAAAAACAAAATATCCCAAATATTCCTCCCTATTATCTCCAACGTTCCCACTAATTTCTAACCACTTCACATCTTTCTATCATTCTTGTATCTTTTTCCCATTTTAAATATCTCTTAGTTGTCTTCTTCTATATAATTATTATATGACTTCATTTCATTCTTTTCATAGCAGCAAGAAAAATAATAATTGAAAATACTCTCTTAATTCTCCATCTTTTAGGAAGAAAGTAGATCTTTTTATAAAATTTTGCGCAGCTTCAAGAGGTACATAATTTGAATTTGTGTGGGCATCAAATCAAGATTTTCAAATGTTTAAGGTATGATAACGAGGTGCAAGTGGTTTAGTCCAATTTAATTTTATTATTTTATGTTAATAAATGATATGATATGACCATCCGATACAAAAAATATAATATATTATGAGCTCCTACAAATTATTAAAAATATAATATGATGATATGATTATTTTGATACATGAATTGATATTTTTATTCAGAATTGCACAATACTCAAGTCCTACTGAGTATTCCCGTATACTCACCCTTTTTTTCTACCTCTCTCATGTTAGAAAGGGTCGTTGATTGGCGGACGATGAGGTGGTGTCGTTATGCCATGATTCATTGGACTTCAATACAATAAATCCATTGTAATGTGACTAAAATTTATTTTCTGCAGTAAATTTAATTTAAGCCCCCGTTTGAGCCACCTTATTTTCTCATGAAAATGAAAAATATGACCGTTATCCATCACATCAACATTTAAATTCAAATTTTCTATATCTTATGTGGGCCCTAATAATGACTATATTTTTCGTTCTCATTTAGAAGCTTTGTCCAGTTCACACTTCCTAATCTTAAATTTAAATTTTCTATTTCTTGTATGACCCCAATAACGGCTATATTTTTCATTCTTATTCTACAAAAAGGTGGCTCAAACAAGGCCTAATTATGTCATGGACATCTTTTTGCTTGTGGAATTTGAAATATATTTTATTTGGTTATTTTTATTTGTCAAACTAATATTATATTTGTTCGCTGTGCTATGTAAATAAAATGACATGTGCAAAATGATATGACCACTAAAAAATTGAAAAAAAAGGGGCAATACTCCATATTATGAATTGATTTCATGTCTCATTGGACTAATTATTTAATTTTTTGTTGTTAATTTCATATGTTACTGTTAATTTATTTAATTATGAAATAAATAGGATTATATGATATGATTAATTAGAGGATAACATTGATAACAAGTCAATTTTATTAATTATTCTACTGTCAGATGCCTCTACTAAATTTTAATAAAATTTGTAAATTTTGAAACATGAGCTGAATTACATTTCTAATTCGTATATTATAGATTGACTTTTATTTAATCTTTCCAATCATATACGATTAAGATATGGCATAGGAAAATCTTCCTTATTTCCTTTATATAAATAAATAATATAAAAAATTTCTACATGACTTTGAGTAAATTACCGTTACATAATTTTATATATATTGCATGCATGTTGTTTAAAGTTTAAATGAAAGTTTTGGTAACGATTTAAAATTTTAAAATTTGGGTCATTACAGCATATTCTACCTTTATACAAGAACCTTAGAAATATTAATTGTTTAAGCATGCTTCCTCTAACTTCATCTTAAATCTTAATAATCCTAGCAAAAAATCAAGGAATAGAATTTTGTCCACATACAATTCCTCATGAATTTCCCTCTTGGAAAATATACATAGCTCCAGCTTCCACAAGCAATCTAGTGCTTAAGAATTACTAGATTCCAAACTCTTGGACTGATATGAACATAGTTGCGAACTTTACACCTTCAGGCTTCAATATTGCAACCTAAGTTTTGTCTCTCTACTTTAGGAGCTATGATTGGCAGAGCAACTGGAGGACTCCACTTACGGTGGTATGGGCGTTGGAGGGTCTCACAACATCTCCTACTGCAGCAATCCAGTTATTAAATGAAGCAAAGCCCAATCTGAAAATCCCACCTATAGCTAAAAATTTTCCGATTCTCGGTCCAGATGTTGGAAAGATTTTTCTTTAAAATTGCCTTTTACCTCAGTGACTCTTGAGTTGGAGTAATGTTTAATGGAAATGTCTCAGTTACTAATTTATTTGCTGGGATATAATTGATGGTTAGGGGGTTTGCAAAGCAAATCACACAAAACCAGCTTGGAAGATCAGCAGGACCTCTCAAATGTGATAGTACTGTATTAGTTCTCACAACTCTTGCAGCCTTTTCCTTTTTTCTTACTCTTTTTTTTATTTTTTCCCTTTCTATATAAATTGATTTCTTTTTCTTTCCTTCGGTAGCTGTTTTTTTTAACCTTTCCAAACACTCAAAATTGTTCAATTTGAAGAACAAATAACACGAAGCACAGCTTTCAGCTATTAATCCCCCTAAAAGGGCAAAAGCACTGCACTAGCCTAATTTCGTTTTAACATCTTAAGTCACAATTAGCCCATTGCACTGCAGGCATGTTCAGAGTAGTGAATCTTATCGTACCTAATCCAAATAAACTACTTGCATATAAATATAAATTACAATCCCTGCCGGTAGAAAAAGTATTATTTCTTTCTTCAGAAGATCACAACCCTAATCTCCCAACAAACATTAAAGCTTGATTAGAATGCGTAATTATAACCTCAAACCAACTAATACGTACAATTAAATAACAAGAAGTTAACATTTGATTTGGCATAAACACATGTACCTGTTTAGCGAGGAGTTCTCTTTCAATGTTGCCCGCTGCAAAGAACGGAGCATCAGGAACGAACCGGCGAAGAATCGGGTTCCAATGCGGAAACCCCATGCCGGATTGGATTTTCTCTACCTCCATAGCAATGGCGGATTCTTCCTGTTAAAAATTGAAAGTCGAAATTGAATTTTCAAAAATTGAAAATTGTCACTACATCATAGTCCAGCAGTTTCTGCTCATTGGGTCAGGATAGTGGGCTTCAACCTTTGGGCCGATAAAGAATTCTTGGGGTGCTTACAAAAATATCCTTTAAAATTTGGAATGTTTTGAAAAATCATATGAAAAGTTTTTAGGAAATAAAAAATACTATGTAAAATGAAAAGGTGACAAAATGTCACTTTTTTATAAAAAAGTGATATAAACTCAAAAAAAGTGACAAAACTAAAAAAAGTAACAAATATCAAAATAGCATCATCCATTTGTGTAACACAAGTAATCATGTTCTTAAAATAATCACCATGTTTAGGCCAATCCACATGCTGATTACATGAAAAAAAAAGTGACAATGAAAATGTATCTATCATCACTTTTAAAGTTAAGTGTCGTTTTTTTGTTAAAAAATGACATACAATGTCACTTTTATTAAAAATTGATATTTGTCACTAAAAAAGTGATAGAAATCAAGAAGGTGACCAAAAAAAGTGATAAACATTTAAAAAAAGTGACAAATTTTAAAAAAGTGACAATTCAAAAATTGGCACAAATTAAAAGAACATATACATATTAAAAAAGTGAGACAATAAAAAATGACAAACATTCAAAAAGTGACAAAATTTTAAAAAAAAAGTAACAAACTTAAAAAAGTAACGAAATTTTAAAAAAAGTGACAAACACTCAAAAGTGATGAAATTCAAAAAAAAATGACAAAAATAATATGATGGTGATTTTCTCGTTGACAAAATCCACCTATAATCAAATTCGTGTAAGATAAGAACCTATTTTTATATAAAGCAATTTTGTTCTTGGTAGAACTATAAAAACCAGCAAAAATATCAGACCACAATTACCAACAATACATGCAAGAAAGCCTCCAACAAGCAGAATGTCTATGCCACAGTAGCTTACACAGATTGAATCGTGTTAAACCAAATGACTTCAACTGATTAAATAAACTCAAAGCTTTATTTAACTTCCAAGCATGACAATACCCATTAATCAATATGTCACAACATTACATGCCACTCCTCTCTCAGGCATTTCATCGAATAGTTCATAACAAACAAATACAAATCCAAGGTTTTCATCAATAGAAGTTTTTACAAAATTGTGGACATTTATTTCATTTCGATAAATGGGAAAATCACATAAATCAAACGGGAAGTCCTAGATCGTTGATCAAATCACTTCGTCCATCTTCAACAATTAGTCTCTCATCGCGGCATGCAAAGACCTAGTTAGAAACATTATAAAATTTATCAAACTCCAGGGTCGGCACTGCAGAGCATACCCTTAGATAGCGACCGGAAGCCTTTGGTGTCGACCCCAAGGCAAGAGGTAAGCTGCACAGAGGAGACAGCTGTGTGGAGACGTAGTAGAGACTAGGACCTTGTCTGGGCTGAATTCTTTTTAAATTTTAATTCGAAATCGGACCGTTGGCAAGGCAACAGTCCGATTTTCACAAAACAAGAATAAGTACACATTTCCTAGACTACCCTTCCTTGGCGTGTAGTTTGGAACAACCAGCACATCAACCCACTTTCCCTTTCCTTCATCCACCCACTGACACCGGAAAGAGGAAGACACCAAAGTGCCGAGCCAAAATTGTTAAACCTTCGAGATTACAGTACCCGGCGACGGACACTTTTACAGCAACCCCAACCGCCATTTTTGATTCCTTCAACTTTGGGCTGCTCAGTTTCGTGGTCATCTTCGACGTGTTCTTCTTCTCAGACGCAGGCAGACCAAAATTGCTCCAGATCGAAGACGAATATAGCAGGTTCTACAGCCCAAGGAAATTTTTTTTGTTCGGAACACTTATGGAATCATTTACCCGGATCCGGATGAAGCTCGACATTTCACCATCTACAGCTTGTGCTTAGCAGGCTTCTTCGACACAGTTGCGTCTCCCAAATCGAAAGGTGATTTCCAACTCTACAACTTGGGATATTCTTCCACATCGGACCATTTCGAAACGGCACCTGCAGTGAGAGTGATCGAGACTCAGCCTTCCCTGTCTCGATTCCTGCAGCAGCGAAGACCCACTGAAATTCAACCCAATCCGTTTCCCCGCTTTGCCTTCTTCTGCGAATTCACGTGTGGTGTAAAGAATCTACATTAATTGGATGGATCCGTTCGAACAACCTCCGGTAAGTGACTGATTCCTTGGTTCCATTTCCAGTTTATTTTATGGGTAGGCCCGTGAGTATGCTTACAAAATTCAACCGAAAAACAACATTTGAATATTGTCGAATGGACACCTGCAGTATTACCATCGTGGGAGCTACTGAAATAAAATTCAAGACGTTAAGAACATTCGTATATTCTCGAATGCACACCTGTAGTAACAAAATCATGAGTATGATTACAAAATGAAAAACTTTAACAACATTTGGTTTTCTCTAATCGACACCTGCAGTATTACCGACACGGTCACTCCTCCGGCTCGACTTGCGTTGAAGTTCATAACCATAGGGTGCCACATAAAAATGCACAGTGGAATGCACATGAGACCACCATCTTCGTGGCTGCCTGCAAGTCCGTTATCGCTGACGGACACCGGAATGGCAAGTGCTTCACGAAACACGGATGGGAGACATTACTCAACCTGTTCAACACCAATTCAGGCCGCAATTGGAACAAACAGCAGCTGAAAAATCGATGGGATGCCCTCCGCACAAAACACAAGCTATTCGAAGAATTGTTCAACTGCTCCGGCATCTCATATGACCCGTCAACTGGCAAGATTGGCGCCTCGGAGGAGTGGTGGAATCGAAAAATGAAGGTAGCATCGTGTCATTAACCTCAACTCATGTTGAATTTGTTTGCTGCAATGTTTATAACGGGTTATTAAACTTGAGTGTTTTCCGATGCCAAATCAAAAATTGTTAGGATGTGCTTTATGTACACGTGGCCGTGGATAGATTACTTACACGAATAATAATTGTTTTTCTAGTATGTGAAATTAATAGGACCGGGTCATATGTGTGATGTGTATTGACCGTGTTAACTTTTTCTAAGCCATTTCTTTTTCATTAATAATCAGGAAAACAAAGACTATAAAGAATTCAAAGACAAAGATTGTCGGGAGGTTTATCGATACAAGACATTATTCGGGGATGTCTTCGACAGTGATAAGTACGCAGTGACTCCCAGTAAGCTTTGTCGCACAGGTTTAGCAATGTTCAAAGACAGTGCTACTGTCGATCACCGTGATGAGATCCCGGTGGATGTGGAGAGTAGCGGCTCCAGTGATGAGGGCGTCGACCCGATACCGGCGTCAGGAACCATGGATATGTCTGGCCCGCATAGTGGTGATAAACGGAAAGCGGCTAGAGATCGAGGGAAAGGGAAGAAGAAGTATTCGGCGCGAGACGTGTCGTTTTCAGTTGATCGTGCGACCACAGCCAGTGAGAGGGTGGCGTCCAAAATTGACCAGATAATTGGACCAGCTGTGTCAGACCCGAAAACATGCTTGCATGAGTTATTGTCCACGGGTCAACTGCAAGTGGGAACCGATTTTTACTTCTGGACATGCTCATTCCTAAGGGAAAAAAAAATAGGGAGATTTTGGACATGCAATCCACTGTGGACCTGAAGTTTGCGATGGTAGAGTGGAGTTGGCAAGAGTATAGGCAAGGAAAATCCTAAGTGATGGCTATGTTTATGCAGCTTGCGTGGAGAGTCCTGTCACGGTTTCTCAGCCCTTGTTATCGATGAATACCTTGTGACAGTTTCATTTTCAACAATGTTTAGGGACAAACATTTTTCATATGTGTTGTGTTTTATATCCATTTTTTTTATATGTGTATTGTTTGTCAAACATTTTTCATATGTGTCGTATTTTATATCCAGTTTTTGTTTATACGTGTATTGTTTGTATTTTCTTATGTGTACTGTTCTTAATTGTGAGTTGAAAAAATGTTTTTTAGATTTGTACAAGACGTTATGCGCAGGTACCACCACTTTCCATCTACACAAATTTCAAATAGTTTGTGTGGATCCCATTATTTATGATCTTGTACTTTGCAGCAGGCTTTGAAATCTAAAAAAGCCTGTGGTTTTTTGTATTACTTTAGGTAAAATATGTACTTTGGTAGGAAAAAAATATTACCCACTCACAAGTTCATTGTACATGTATTTGTTTTACGTGTATTATTTGTAGAAACTATACTTTCCTTTTCACTATAAAGGGCAAGGCAATGGGCATCAAATTTCATTGCCTTACAAAAGCATCGTCTTCTATATTTGAAGTAGAAAGTCTCTCATCCTTTTGTATTATTTCGAAATGAACTGCGATTTGCGTCAAACATCCGATGCCTCGACAACATTGACGACGAGGCAGTTATGGACGAGCTATTGGTGGATATGATTGAGTGGTTTCAATATTGTCAAATAAGTGAGGTGACTGTAGGTAACTACCATCGTGAACAAAGACTTCGTGTTGCTCGTTATCCATTCGCTCGAAATGGGCACATGTTTATGCTAGATGCTATGAACTGCAGCCCTCAATAGTGCTACGCGGAGTTTCGCATGTACCCCGCGATGCTCCGAGCATTAGGCCCACGTGCTACGAGATCAGTACGGTCTGCGCAGCCAGCAGCATATAGATATTTACGAACAAGTTGGTATGTTTCTAAGCATTCTAGCGCATGGAAAGGGATATAGACAGGTGCAGACGTTATTCAACCATTCGCTGGAAACAATTGGACGCTACTTCAAACTTGTGCTCGAAGCGGTCGTTCAATTCTCGATCGTGTTAATTAAACCTCATCCAGACTACAACCAGGGTGCCGATCACCACGTACCGAATCTTAACCAACATTACATATTCTGGGATTGCATTGGAGCTATTGACGGTACACACGTTAGAGCCGTTCTACCGCGGGACGAGCGAGTGAGTTTCATCGGGCGCAAAGGAATTCCGACACAGAATGTGCTTGCGGCATGCGACTTCAATTTGTGTTTCACATTCGTGCAAGCTGGCACGACAGGGAATGCTCATGATGCAAGAATCTTGTCCAGGGTTATACATGACCCGGAAAGCAGCTTCCCGAAATCGGGTGCTGGGAAGTATTATCTGGTGGACTCGGGGTTTGCGCATCGACCTGGGTACATGGCACCATATAAGGGTTCAGATATATTGTACCATTTTCAGTAATTTTACGACGCTACAACCGGTTGCAGGCGAAAATTTCGAAATGCTAGGGAGAAGTTTAATTTTCGGCACTCGTCGTGCAGGAATGTAATCGAACGTGCATTCGGCGTGTGGAAAGGTCGTTGAAAAATACTCGATCGGATGCCAAGTTATGATTTTGAAGTACAAACAGCAGTTGTAATTGCAACTATGGGAGTTCACAACTTCCTTCGACGAGCGGGTGTAGTGGATGAAGTATTTACTAGAGCGGAGACGGACCCCGACGTAGCGGAGGTGGACCTCCCGGACGAATGGGAAGAAGTTGCAGCTGAAATGCACGCACCGGAAACGCAACGAAATGAGTGGGATATGTTCCGAGATTACCTGGCACATCAAGTTTGACTTTTATTTTTCGAGCGTCAATGTACTGTCATTGCCGTTATGAGCTATGCACCGATCGTGTGAAATTAATGCAAACGGAACAATAAAAGAAAAATTATTCCCAGTTTGTACGTTGGTATAAAAAAATGTGGTAAAATAAAGTTCAAATGCACGTTACATGTATTATTGTCGGTTCGTACACGGCAAAATCAATTCCAAAAATAAAAAGCATTTCACGTGTGGCACAGTCAAAAGTGTCCAATTTGGGAGCAAATTGTGACTTTGTGGGACCATTGAGTGTTGGGAAGTGGAAATGTCAAATGAGTGGGGGTGGGGGTGAAAAGGAGCCCTTCACGTGGGCGTACAGTGAGAGTGGGGGCAAGAATGGCAATATCCAACATGTTTTGAAAAAATCAAGTCTGCACTGTTCATGGATTGACAGGAAAATTGATTACCAAAATCTGTGCAATTGCTCCCAGACAAGGCCTAGAATGCACCTATTTGAGCTAATGGCCTTGAGAAAAGAGATGGAAATTAGCGTGAGGATTGGATAGATCTGAGACTCAATGAAGGCTTTGAAATGGCAGACTTGAGAAGATTAATCTCTTGGGTGAGGTTTTAGAAGATGTTACATATTAATTTGAATTGGGTTTTGAGGTTTTGATAGTTTAGAAAGTATTAATTACGCGATTAAGTTATTTAATTAGTTTGTAGGGTATTATTCAAATTAGTTGTTTTTTAGAGGTAGTGAGCCTAATTTTCCCAGAATTCTTTGGGGAAATTAGGTCCAGCACGGTCCAAAACCAGAAAAAAATTGAATAATACGCTTTTGCACTAATTAAACAATTTAAAACATAATTAATACGTTTAAAAGCCCAAAACCCAAACGTAAAGAGTGAAAACCAGTTGGTGTTTCTTCAACTTTTTTCCATTTTCATTATCGTAAAAGGATGGTAGAGCTCAGTCGACATCACCGTAATGCAAGGGCGACGCCACAACTATCATCCTCAGAGCTGCATCAAAACCCTTCATTTCCCTTCAATTTTCCATGTTGTTTCCATTTGTGCTCGACAATCACTTGTAAAATCGAAATACTCATACTCATCATCGGCCAAATCCACCCCGATTGCAGCATAGTTCCATTTATTTATCAAAAGAGGTGTCCATTTTGAAGACATAATTAATTTTCCTTG